AAACTTAATAATTTTTTGACAATTTAGAGCACAAAAGTTACATCAAAATACAAGTGAATGTTGTTTTTGCTCTAATGTTAATAATACCTGTTTAATATGCATTGGCTAAAAGGCAGTTTCACGAAAGTTAGTTAAGTAAAAAAAAAAAATCTATTTGAATTTAATACGAAAACTGACAAAAGGTAACAAATTATGTTTCACTTAAATTGCTAGTGAAACCGGCAGTAAAAATAAATAAAATAGCGAGTTACTTTCTTACTAAATATCAACTTAATCTCCGGCTATATCATCACTGGTAAGCATCTCGCAAAAACGCTTGCCATCTAACAGTATTTCCTTCTAAAGGTATGTGTATTTTTCAAACTAATTATAAGCCAGTACTTTGCCGTCCACCAGCGAATTACTAGAAATCCCCGGAGGTAATAGTAACAGTATGTATTTTGGCGCTTACACTTGTGCTAATTGTTTGGACGAGCTTCTTCTACAATTTGTAGTGTGGCTCTTTCCCTTCTAACGGAAAATGGATTTTATAAGTGGCCGAAAAAAACGCTCGAAGTTTTGGCTTTGCCTGCCGAGGAACGACTGTTGGAGCTTTTTCTTATTTGGATGTTGCCCGGACCAGGGAACGAACCCAGGTCTTAGGGAGTGGTAGCACGCACCTCCAACCACTCAGACACAACGGCCGATACGGGAATAAGGTCCTCAAGAATTTTGAAGTTTGGGAAAGGAAAATGTGAAGCGGCGTGCGCGGTGACAAAGATTCGTTAATTGCAATTTGCCTTTTGTTTAATAGCTCAACGTCCCAACATGCCACATGCAGCATTCACGCAACAATCCAGACTCAGCCAACTTATGCACATATATGTATGTGTACGTAGGGCAGAGATATAGTAAATGCATACATGAGCACAATATACTGCACCATTTCCGTTGCTCAAACCTCTGGAGCTAAGCTTCTCTTCAGCTTCAGCATTTTGGGTTAAACCGATTTCGTTTCGTTGGAAGTAGTTGGCGTTTATTCTTTACCCTCATGGCCTTTTCGCACGCGCGGCAATTGTGCAAAACGAGTGCTAAACGTGATGAATTCAAAAATAGAAAGTAGATCTTTGCTGTGGTAAGGTTTGACAGCTTCAAGTGCTACACAAACCACCGCGTCCCTGGCAGGTATTCACCCGTCTACCAGCCAATTGCGAGGTAAAACAGATTCCACATCATGGGAAAAGCACTAAAGAAACATACAGATATATTCATACATACATACATACTCACTAACCAAATACTTAGGTAAAACGGGCGAAATCGCGTTACATTCAACGAATTCGTGATTTTCTGGCGTATCGCTCCCAAACAATCACTGCAATTCTTCAAAAGTGTCATTGTTGTGCTGTTGGCGGTGCGACTGGTCGATATGAATGTTGTCGGTTGCTGATTGTCAATTGTCGATTTTCCTTGTTGTTGTTGTGGCCTAAATAACAAATGAATGCAATCACTTTCTGTGTCATCGTCAACTGCTGAGTGCGTGAGTGTAGTGTAGTGTTCATGATCTACTGCCACTCCATTTGTTCTGTTCTTTATGTACCTACTTTTGAATGTGGGAGTGTTCGTGTGCGTCTGGTGGCAGCACCAAGCGTCCTCTGCAGGATTGAATCCGTTCTGTATATTGTCAATTGACATTTTGGTTTTCATTAGTATGTTTGTTTATTTATTTGATAGTTTCATTGTCTGAGGCTGTGCAATATATGTACGTAAATATGTATGTTTGTGTATTTGTATTTGTATTCGTTTGGTTGCGGTTAAACACTTCGAGTTCGAGTACTTCAGTGGCACTTTGCCGCTTCGAAGCCTCTTCACCCGCAATAAAGTCACAATTTGTTAAGTGTTTGTGAATTTTCTGAGCTTTCCCAACATTTACCATCGGCTATCAGCATTCCTTCGACTGCATTTCACCAAATTTCATTTCTGCACTTCGGTCTGCTTCGGTCTGCCTTGCCTTGCACCAACGGCAGTTGTAAACATTTTGTGTGCATTTTTATTGCTACCGAAATTTCAGTTGAGAACTGACTGCAAGTTGGTCGCTTTCCCGGCGTCTTATACCCACTGCATTTGTTGTTTTATGGTTCACGATTTTATCTTCTTTCCAGTTTTTCGCATTGCACGATTATTTAGCTGCAGTCCTTGACCAAGTCAGAAATCAGCGCCGCCGAGTAAAGTCATTTTATTTTAAGACCTCATTCCACAGTCTCTTTTCTTTGCCTATTCGGAAACTGCTTATGCACACATACGCCTGCACTTACATACATGTTGATGGTTAAATTGTTTCGCATTGTGTGCATTTTTTGCGTTTTAGGGGCAAAGAAACTACGATGTAAGGCAGTAGTAAAATGAAGAAATTGCATTACTTGCAGACTTTGCGCTTTTTAATAGCAAACATCTTGCTGCCCTGCCTACAATCCTATTGTTATGAGATTTTTTGTTTGTTTTTATTCTTGCGTTTTGTAACAAATTAAAACACATTCAGGAAGTAAAGGGCGCACGAGATGAAGCTTTTAAATTTTCAGCTCAAGCGTTCAGATTGGAAATTTAATTTTGCGCAAGAGAATTCATCCAGAGAGTCTAGCGCCGATGAATTATCATAATTCCTTTGTGATTACATTTAATAAAGCGGCCTTGCTTCGTCGACTCAAACTTTCCGATCTTCCATAAACCACTGAAAACTCTCCCTAAGCAAGTGCTTTTGCTAGAAGGAATATATAACTTCATTTGTGAACATATTTTAGTAGAAGATATTAAAAATTATAAATTTTATGTTAAAATACTGTTGATGAAGATGTGCCATAAGCCATAACAATTAAAGAATATATCATAAACCATCCACCCACGGAAAATGTAGATAACAATTTGCCATCAATTTTAATGTTTGCGTATTCCTTTAATCCGTTTTAAATCTGCAGGTCTGCGAATAATTCGAAGTAGATTTTTGGGTACTTAAAAGTTCCGATGTTCATCACAGTTTAATATTTGCGCAATGTTGCAGCAATCAGCCGTATTTTGGGATATCCTTTCGAATGTTCGTGTATACGGTATACAATTCGGTTATCCAGTAAGTAACCGTTCATTTTGCGTCCGGATATGCGGATAGAACTAGAACCTAGTTACCAATGCTATCTACTCAAGTGCTGGCCAATTTCTTGAGCGTATATGAGTAAATCTCACGAGTTGTTACATTTTTCGACAAAAACGTGTTTTGCTCCAAAATGGGGGCACACTTATCTTACGCTATGCATTATCTTTAGTTTTGCATAATGAACAAGATTCCATCGCGAAATAAAAAGACTGGTATCCATAATTGTGTATGTGACGTATGTATACGCCCCGTAGCATTCAGCTAACACATTTACTTGCACTCCTTAACTAAAAAGCCGTATTATTTTAAAGTACTTAACTAAATATTGGCGTGTAATATTTTTCCACATTATTCTTCACGCATATACAAAATATTATGAACATACAGAATTATGTATATATTAATTTCTTCGTATACTATAATAAATTGACAATGAATTTCGAGTGTGCCAATAAAAATCATCATTTTTAAGTATCCTTAACATTTTTAAGTATCCTAAACTTTTATAATTAAAAAATCGCTAAATTTCAAAAATTACAAAATAGCTCAATTTGGTGGCACACTCTTGAAACTTCACAGATATGTTGTATTTGATGCTAACTTTGATTCACTCTAATGTGAACATTGTAATTGAAAACTTCCCAAAGTTATTCAACAAAAACAATTATGTTAATATTTTTGTTGAGCTTTGTACCACGATTTTGTTTATAAGGGAAAATTGAAAAAGCAACAAATTCTAAGCGGTAGAAGAATCTCATCAGATTTCTCTTTCCTAGACTTCAGCAGGGAAAAAAAGAAGTCTGATGAGGAGATGTGATGATCTCCGAAGTAGCTGCTATAACTTCTACCGCTTAGACTTAGTTGCTTTTTAAATTTTTCCTAAAAAAACAAAATCGTGGTGAAACCTCAATAAATATATTATAATAAAAATGTTAATAAGCCACAAAAACAAGTATGATTTTTTATTTCGCGTCACAATGAAAAAATTCTAAATTTCGGTACTTTTTCGCCTAAAGAAACACCACCCACCAAAAAGTTAACCATCTCAAATCGAACTTAACCACATCACTAACTATTGCTGTCCACACTGCGGTTTGAGGTTTATAAAGCAGTACAAATGTAGAGAACAGTGTTCGGACCTCCGAAACTCGATTCAGGACTAAAAATCTGAGCAAAAACAAATTTTCCGTACTAGATTGAATTTTTTATTTTCGTTTCTGACATTAATTGTTTGACTTAAATATTTTTTATTCATGCAAAAATAAGAACGTAAAGATAATATGTTACATATTTAGGTAATATTTAGCATTTCCTATAAAGTAGAACGTTTCTAACACTTTATTTTTTAAAGAGCAATAGGATCTAAACTTTTTCTACTTTATATAAATTTTATTCTACATATATTTTTTAACAACTTATGTACATATAGTTCTGCATCCGCCAATTTCTACAGCCATACATCAAAAAATAACGAAGTTACTTTATTGACGCATTGCTATGAAAGAGTTAATTTTTAACAGTAAGATTTGGCTAACTTTCAATTTTTTTACTGAAACCGGTGGTGAACACTCAAAAAACGGTCCCAAGAGAGCAAGAGGGGCATAACATGAATGAAAAAAAAAAAAACGGAATAAATTGAAGTCAAGCGGAGGAGAGGAGTAGATTTCAAATTTTTTCAAAAACCGGAGTAAATCAATCTCTTTATACCAAAAGTTGCATACATATGTATGTATCAGCATGGAAGCTTCATCTACTATAATTCCTTCTATCTAAAATATAACATCCTAGCAACAATTTTATGCCATATTTCTTGCTCTTCCTCAAACTGCAATTCGGTTTTAATAATGATAACTCTTCTTTCTTTCCGTCTTTACAGATTTGACGTGACTGTGTCTGAGCTCTTTCAATTTGTAGTGTCAAGACACTTGGAAAGGCAACAACAAAACTTCAAAGAGCACTTCAAATACAGCCAAAAAAATGGATTATGAAAATCAAACGTGACTTTCGCCCTGAAAACGAAATGCAATCCTATTTATTCTGGCACCACACTTAAGACAGAAACAACTTCTGGCTAAAATAATTCAAATCCTAGTCCTTTTTAACAACAACTGCAACAAATCACCCTCTAGCCTCACATTTCCGCTTCTCTTTTGAATTTTCTTACGAGCGGAATGTTTTTTGTCGTCGGCTGAAATACAACACCTAACAACTAGCACAGCTGCGCCGCAACACTTTAACGGTAACTGGAGGCGCGAACCTTGGCCACTTCAAGAACATCACATCAACAGCGAAGCGAAAAACATAAGCACAGCAGAAGTGGCATAGCGCTACAGCATAAATAAAACCAAGGAAAAAACCCATAAAGCGGCAAAAATGTGCGTTAGCAAGCAACCGTGGACGCTGATTGTCGGCTGCGCCTTGCTGTGCCCCACACTGCTCCTTTCGGGCACATATTCGACTCCCATTGCAGCAAGACGTGGCCACCAGCCAACGCCTTGCGCCCACGACAGCATCGCCGCCCTGATCAAAAAGAGTCCGATAATACTGAAGGCTCTGGGTGCACATATCTTCACCGACGACGCCCGCACTGTTGATTTACTCGGCGCAGGCGCTGTCAATGACCAGCTGAAATGGCAGAACGCGCAAAATAATTTCTTCGCATCAGAAACACTGCACTCGGCCGCTGGACCAACGGCAGCCACCGCTGCAGCAAGACAACGACAACAACAGCGAGTTTTGCAGTCTCAGCAAAAGCAACAGCCGTTGACAACTGCGGAAAGACGACACAGTGACAGTGACGACGGCACACCGGCCAGCTCTGCTTCTGTGACGACAGCACACTCAGCTACAGCGGCAAACTCGGCCAAAGCTTTGGACGAGTCCATTTTAATAACATTAACACCGGAAACGATATACAAAGGCGCGTCACTTTTGAAAATGACACCCGGGACGGAGAACGCTGCACGGAGCAGTGGTGGTGGCGGCGGCGGCGGTGGCGTAGGTGGCTATGGAAGAGGCGATGGCAGCGGCACGGGACACAATGGCAGCTATGGGAATGGAAGCGGTGGCAGCGCAACGCCCGAGTCCGCATATCAGTATGAAGGGTAGGTAAAGTGGAATATTTAGTTATGTTGAAATCTGTCCGGTGCCTTGCAACTTTGTGCAACTGGTTGAATGAAGTACGGTGCTCAGAAGACTGGCAGCTGGCATAGTTGCCGACAAGGCGAATCGCTCGTGCGCCTATTGTTGTGTGTGCGGTTGCGTGTTTGTGTGTGAATTGGAATGGAGAAAAGTGACAATTTAATTTAAAAGAGGTTAACAATTTGCAAACTTCGTCAACTATGTATGTGTAGCCGGCAAGCGCGCATGCATTGTACATAAATACACAATGTACATACAAACATAGCAGCAGTTATGGGAATGCTTGTGTGTGTGTGTGTGTCAGTATTTTTTGTGCAGCAAGTTACAAGTGCAATTAAAAAGCACTTTTCCTTTTCTGTACCAGCTGTGCGAAGCTGACCAAACAAATGCTCCACCACACTCACGCAGCCACACGCAGTGTATTTATGCTACATATTTCAACACTTCAACATAATTAATTGCGTAAAAGGGAAACACGCCTCATTGGAGTGCCTTTCTCGCCTACTTTCCGCAATCAACATTTACAAATTAACCATAAAACATCGCATTTCCTGCAAATGAGCCGATAACACGGTGCTACAACCGAGTGTAGGTTGTAGGTATGGTCGAGTACAACATGGAAATAGGTACCGTATAGTTCCTCAACCCTCCATTTTGTGTATGCCAAAAACCCGTTATTTTCGTAGTTGATGCACTTATCTATTAATAGCTTGACTACTTTCTATCCGATTTTAAAAATCGAACAAGTTTTGAAGGGAGGATTATTAGACCTTTAAAACGATGTATATATAATAATAGCCGTGCAAAAATTTGAGGATCAAGTGGTCCACTGGGACGTAGTTTTAAAGGCCCAGGTTGCGTACTAGTAACTTGGTTATGCTGAGCTGGACCACTTCAAACGTAAAAAACTGATATAGATTTTGCTATTTAAATTTAAAAATCACCTTGAAAAATGATCAAATATTCAGTTTATACAAAATTTTATGAAATTCAGGCATGGTCCAAAAGGAGTAGTTGTCTTGGTGGTCCCATGTTAATGCGTTGGACCAGAGGTGGTCAGGTTCAACGACATCGCAATGTTAATGTAACCGCATTTTCTCCATATGTTTTGACCATTTTGGTTGCTAGTGTTGGTTACAATGTAGCGTGGTCCTATACTAGTATTTAACATAGTCCCACTTTTTTCAGAGTAGTTAGACTTAGCTTGTTGGGAGTTTTCATCGGTTAAATTTTAATGAGCCCCTATTTTTCTTCATTTTTGAACTTTGATCATCGCTTATTTCAAAAATGTCTATGCAACTTTCCAAATATGTGGCATTTATCTAAAATAACATTTATTTGTGAATAAATTGATACCACATCCAATGCAATTGCATAAAAATTGTCGGCCTTGAATTTAAATGTGTGTATCTACCGGACGTGCAGATTTTTTAAACAGTGTGGTTAAAGGGATCATCAATATTTACATACTCAAAATTGTTATATAAATATGCGTATCTCAAAAACTACTTGACCGATCTCGACCAAATTTGATATACACATTGAGCTTTGTCTCCTTAAGCACCGCGAGACGCATCGCCTATCGCCTATACCGCTTGAAAAAATGTTGATTGAGGCAAATAAATAAAGTTTCTTTTTTAGTATAATGCCAAAAACTTCGTTCAAACAGAATAAATCGTATTCGGATTTCACTAAAAGTGTGCCACTGAGAAAGTGCTGTTTTTCCTGCAAGGCCTACAGATACATGCAGATACATGCAGAAAGGCATGATCATGCAAACGTGCCCTGTGAGAAAAGTAATAATGCATTACATGTGTGATAAATATTGTAATGCTTTTCTTACAGGTTTAAGATTCTATTACTGATTAATATGTAATCAACATTCTAATGTATGAAACAAGTTCCAAAAAAATGTATGTTAAATCGCATACATTCCTCAATTACTAGGTAAGGCTTTTCATAGGACATCGTCATAAGGAAAAAAATGCATTTTCGAATCTGAAAACGGGTTTTTACTGATAAAATTTTCGATTAACATACATTACATTTTCCCACTGGGTATACATATACATTTGTGCTGAGCATCAACAATGCTGATTGCGTGCCTAGAGGCCGCATAACATTGTTTTTAAGTATAATGAATTAATTACATTTAATCAACGCAATTAACGATGCACTTCTGCTGTGTTGTGTGCTTGTATGTATGTATGTACTTGTATGCCTGTGTAAACCTGATTAATCCATACATTCGTATGTAAATACATACATATGTATGTATGTATATCAGCATGAGCTTCCGACTTCGCCAAAAGTCAGCATTATTTATGACATTTCGCATTTAATTGCAATTGAGTGTAAAGTTTGCTATACTCGAACACATATGTATGTACACACTTATATAGTATATTCATACATATGTACAGTCAGTATCAATTGTTAGTGTACACATTTTTCTAATGTAATGCTGACTACGAGGCAACCGTTGAGACAACCAAGGCATGTTGCTTCGACCGTTGCCTTGTCTGTAGGAATGTTGCTCACAGAAATTCGTGTTGCGCAACCGTTGCCCGAAAATTAAAATATTTTGATAATTTGTATTGGTTGCCGTGTCGGTTGCCTCATGTGTATCGTTGTGTATTGAATTTATTGACTTAGTTCATTGAAAACAAGTGAGCTGAAAAGGTGTTTTGGTAGAAAACAAATTTTCTTCCGCATATTCATTTCATAACAGAGCAAATACTTGCGGTTGCCTCGTGCGTATTAAACAAGAACATCAGGTTGCCTCAACGCTTTGCTTCAACGGTTGCCACGTGTGTAGTCAGCATAATATTCACAATTATTTTCATGAAATCTTTTTTTCATTAATTACACGGGTTTACATATTAAACCACACCTTTATATCCCTATGTTATTAGGCTCCATCACGTCGAGTTCGAGGTCATTTGAAGGTCATGTAGGGAAAAATTAATTGAATTAACCTAAAAATTCAATGCAATTCTTCTGCATTCGACCTTTCGATGCCAACACCTCTAGATGACCTTGAGGAATCAAGGGACCCTCATATTCGGATTCAGCGATAACAAAAAAAGAAAATATTAAATAAATTGTTTGTCCTATTTGACCCTCAAATGACCTCGAACATGACATTATGGAGGTTAACGGACTTTGGATTCGGCTTTAGCCATTCGAAAAACCCTTATATGTATATGAATTTTCAACTTTATAAATTGGATTTTTCTCCACTTGACTTTCAAATTACCTCGAACCTGACGTCATGGGGGCTAATAGACTTCGGATTCGCATCCAGCGCATCGAATAACATAGGAATATAAAGGTTTGGTCCAATATGCAGAAACTTTTGTTTTTTTTTGTAAACCTGTGTTATTTATAAAGATATGGTTTATTCAATAACATAAACCTTATAAATCAAAGTTTCACACTTTATATAAAGTTCACAAAGATAAAAAAAAAAAATTGCGTCAAAATTTTTAAATTTTTATTCAGAATTTCTAGTATGCAGTTGTGTAGTCCGTTCAATTTTAGTAAAATAAAGTGCAAGTTTCAAGTCGCTTAAAATTACCGCTAGCTTTTATAATTTTCATGATCAGAATCTATTTTTATATGAAAGAAAATGCGCAATACCCTCCGCAAAAAAAAAAAAAAACGAACGGTAATTTTAAGCGACTTGAAACTTAGGCTTTCTTTTACTAAAATTACAACTTGCATACTCGAAAATTTTCCAGAAATTCTGAATAAAAAGTGTAAAATTTTGATGAATATTTGAACATTGTAATTTTTGTGAACTTTGATATATAAGGTTTATATTATAGAAGCAAATTTGTCATGAAAATAATTGTGATTATTATATTAGAACAAGGTGTACCCTAACTTTTGACACTGTCTGTATGTAACATTATTACTTTATTTCACCAAAAAATATCTAAATATTTTAAATAATATAAATAAATTAAAAAAGGCTTTGACTCTAGACTTTGGTTCAACATAAATATTTTTAAGTAATTATTAAAATGTTTACATATTTACTCACATCCCTCATAAGCTTCGTGGTAAAAACTTAAGTTTATTTTTTTTTTTCGATATACCTTGCACGCAACAAAAATCAACAATGAACAACAACAAACATTCAATGAAAATTCAACAGCCAGTTGAATGCAACGCTGCAACCTTT